TTTGAGAAGTAATTTATAGTTTGTGAGAAAGTGATTAGATATAACTTCTGTTAAAGAACAACAACAGAATCTTATGGGAAGTTTAAAGACATAAGAACAAATCAGGTTTGGGAATTTTATTAAAAAGTTATTTTGACTTTCTTTGCATTCCTGAAAATTATTTTGTGTTAAATTTCATTTATTTAAAGCCAGAGAAATTTTCTTTTGTGACAAGATGTGGCATACAAATATACCATGCATTTTCTACCTTGTTTTAATATAGACTTTTTTTTTAATTTCTCAGTTGCTCAGTTGTATGTACATTTTTCACATAACATGTCATCAATCTAGCTATCTATTCTTGTGTTGATCCCTGTGACATCTAGTCTATGATGGGGGAGAAGGGGAAAGCTGCCCCTTGTGTATGATTGTGGACAGCAGTTTTCTCCAATTAAAATTTGAGTAATATCTCAAGGTTACAACCTCCTTTACTTTCAAATGGGTAGTGCAAGAGCTAGGCAATTAGTGATATTTGCTAACCAATTAATTGACATGGTCATTAATCAATTAGCACACCATTGCTATTACAACTCCTGGATGCAAAAAATATGAAATGAGTATGTGCTAGTGTCTTTTTCAGCCACTACATTAATTTTTAATGGTATCAGTTTTCCTATTTTATTTTATTTTGATCTCTTTGTTTATTTTTAAAGTAATTTTTGAATTACCTTCATTACATACCATAGACCACTTCTGAAGGTTTCCAATTGCGCATTTGTGAAAAACACTTTTCCGATACAGTACTTCCATCTGCTCAGAAGATTAGCTTTTCTCGTTTTATATCTGAACTTGTCTCTCACGCAAATAATCATGCATCATCTTTCCACCAATAGGAGAACACTACTATCACATGATGCAGGTTACTCCTTCTATGTGCCACTACCAAACCATTACTTCTCGTTTGGCAGTCCTTGAGTTCAGATGTCTTCCTTTCTGCTCATTACTTATCAAAGTGGTTTAACTTAACTCTCCCAACACGGGTTTGGTCAGTTTGACCGATTCACGTGACCTTTTGTACTCGTTTAAAGATTATATAAATTTAATACTTATAACTCTGTATATATTGGGTATATCTTCATAAAATTTTGTAGTCTTTCAGTTAATATTCCAAGTCTTTCACATACAAAAAGTCATATTTCTTAGTGAAGTATTTCTAATAAAATAAAATAAAGTTTTGTCCATGAATATATTGAGTATTTGTTTTGAATAGTCTGTGTGAAAAGTAATTTTCATGTTGAAATCAAAAATACTTTTTGTCATCTCAAAAAATCTAAAATTTCCTTTGTGTAATCCCTGAAACCTCCTAAATGCATTTCAAACGTTTTTTTTTTACTAAATCCATATAGTATATATGTTATTTTCTATACCCTATCTCAAAACGGGATCGGTCAATTCGACCGACCTCGTAACCAAAAAATCAAAATAAACCAAAATTAATTTTCATTTCTTTCCAGAATGACTTCAAATTGTAACATGAAGCTACATTTGTTTATCCTAAGTAGCTCTAAGTTTGTAACATTATACATCTATTTATAATTAAATTTTATTGCCCTTTCAACCGTGTCTAACTATAATCCGCACCATTATAAGTTGTAAATCACTCATGTTGCACTATTGAATTACATTACCCATGAGGTGCTCGCATATGTGCCTCGGAAAAATTTTTAATTGTATTATTATTATTACTTATTTTACCTAATCTAGTCTTAAATAATTTAAAAAGATCTGTATTTTTCATTTTTGTTACTTTTATTAATAATAAAAAAGAATAAATATGAAAAACAAGAAATAAAGTACTTACCCAATCTTATTTTTTCTTGCCCTCGATTATCGAGGAGAGTTAAACCTGATTTT